CGCAGGCATAAAGGGGATATGACGAATAAAATGATTTCTCTGAGTTTGAACATTGTTGGAAACATTAGGGATAATGTAAGAACACAGTTTAATGCTGAAATGTTACAGATTATAGCTTTAAGTAAAAACTGTTTTGTTCTCTCATTCAGAGCATTTTAACGTGGAAACCTGTTCCTTCAGGTAGCTGGAATTCACTTTGGCAATCACTGACTGTTTGTTTGTTGTAACAGTCAAATCAGTGGACATGTGTGAGACATGACTAGAAATCCCACCTGCAGAACTTCAGCTATTTTTCTGTCAGCCACAAACAAACTCACCCACACCAAAACACTCTCTAAAAGACTATCTCTAGAATTGACCTGAAAGTAGAATCTGGACGTTTAGATCACAATCTTTCCAAGAAAACCATATAATAATCAAAGCCTTCAGTCTATACATAATGACTTAAAGTATGTCTCATATTCGATTTACTCTTGACACTACATTAAGCCACTATAAACCTAGGTCAGGTTTTAATGTTTCTCATCCTGGAGGGAGTTCACTTAGCATGCGTGCTCACATTCAGCAACAGCCTAATTTACATTCACTCCGTTTTTCATATTTTCAGCCGAGAGCAGCCGCACACATTCGCTCCGTCCTCTGTTGTTGTGCCAGTAGGCAGCTCTACGGCAGCGGATCGGGATAAATTATTTGGCATCATGACCGTTGTTGCTTTTCATTTTGGTCTGGGGAATTCAACTAGTAGCCTTGCTCCAATCTGAAGTGCTAAAGAGGGAGCTAAAGAGATGCTGATCAGATAGGCGTGTTTGGGGACTGAAAGAGGAATGAAAAGGAAAAAAAACCCCATAAAAATTCAATTTGTTTGGAATTGCCTCTGCTGCTGATTGATACGAGGACATCATGTGAAATTGTCTGTGATTATCCTATCAAGAGATTAATTCATAATTTGAAAGAATCGGAGGCAGCAGATTGTTATTCAGTTTTCCTCAGGCTGCAGATTGACGATGACTTCCTTTTCTCCGCTCTGACCTCTTAGATGCTCAAGCCTGATCAGACCACGTTTACTTGATAGCAAAAAGAAATATATAAAGCACTTAAAGAGCATTACTGTTAACATTAATTCATCAAAATATGATATAAAAAACTATAGAATTTGCTTGTACCAAACAATATCAAATGTGTTTTTTCTCTCAATGAAGGGTTGGGGGTCCTTTAACAGTTATTTCATTTTTGTACGTAGTCCAATACTGTACAGATATTTAGTTTTATTTCCTCAATTTAGTTTATCCAGGTTAAGTAAAGAGTAAAAACAGTTGCTTCAGCGGCTCCCAGGTCTTTGAACAGGTTAATTGTACCATAATGTATTTTGATGTATTGTATGTTAAAATGGATTTTATAAAACTGGTATGAAAAAAAGTTTTGTTCAGTAATTGGTATCAAAGTCAAGATATCGGTATCAAAACATTTTCAGTGATACCCAGCCCTACAGAGGCGACTCAGAGCGACTCTTGTACAAGAGGAATGAATGAAAAAGGATTTCTCAGTTCATCCAGTCAAGGTCTAACTGTATTTATAAGATCCAGATTTGGTGAGGAAGCTTTTAGTTGATCTCAGTAACAAAGAGTCTTAGAGTGGGTGGGAGGTTTTTCTTACTTCTGTGGTTATTGCTGCATTTTCCTGTTCTTTCTTATATTTTTCTGAACATTTTACTTGTTGTTGTTTGACCTTTAAAAAATGTATTTGTCATTTCCTGGAAAGGAAGATGTGACTGAGAAGGACTAATGGATGTCAGCATATAACCATGTTTTCCAGCTCTGCACCAAATGGAGAGAGCTGTAGGAGAAACTTACAACTATCTTCTCTTCACTAAGGGGTTAACATACAGAATGTCCGCAAAAAAAACTGACAAAGCTCTATATTTTAAGACTTTATAATCCCATTCTTCATGTTTACAGACCTGAAGGGCTAGCATTGTCTGGAATATAATAGAGTTATAAAAGGTGTACTTGTGTGCTCTGTTTGAGGTTGAAACGAATGAGGCGAGCTTGATGCAGTATACAAGAAGGTAATAAAAGTTGTTCCTGTAGACAAAAGGATGACACGGTGAGATGAGGCGGGTGCGAGGCTAAATGAGGCCAAACCAGACACTAAACTGTTCTCTTCTCCGAAAGGTTATTACGTGAAATATGCCTGCAGTCGAACGCAGTGGGAGAGTGACATTTGAATGACACCACTTGGGATACAGGATCTGCAATTTCATCGTCTGGGCTCTTCATCTTGTCCAATCGCTTTCCTCCTACACCGTAACAACTCCTCCAGGTGTGTCTGAGAAAAGGGACCCAGAAATAAAGAGCTTTCCTCGTGGACGTAAGCGGTTCTGAAGGCAGGACGTGCTGCTGGGTAAATTGCAGCTGCTCGCAACATTACTCCTCTGGGATGGAGCGCTCTTAGACTGTAAGCACTTTGTTGACACTTCCAGAGGACTCTTTCAGATGTTTTCATTGTTTGATACCAAGCTGGGGTTTTAGAAAAGGGACACAATAACAAAATGTCTACAAGAGCAACTCTCCATCTATAACCTAGATACTACACACTGAGCAGCTGGTGGTTTCCCAGCATGCTGTACAAAACTATAAGAGGCCATTAGCAGGTTTATGTTTAGTAACTTTGTCTGTATTATATATATATTTTCCTTTTTTAACAATCATACATAGTTAACAGGCTTCTTTTTTTTGTTTTTTGTTTTACAAATTCAGTGTTTTCTTCTCCCTGACACTATTGTTCTATTAGCTTTTTGTTGTGGCTTTCAAGAAAGCCTCACCACCGCACATGTTACGTTGGCGACCCCTAGTGGGCATTGTGACCCCCGGGTTGGGAACCACTGCTGTAATCAGTTCCCTTTACAGTCAAATATGACGCAAACTAGAGCTGAAACAATTCAACAGAGTAATAATCAACAAAAGTTCAGACTTTTATCAATGAATCAATTAACCTTTTTACAAGCCAAAGTGTCAAAATTTCCCCGAAACAAGCAAAATGAAAACGTCGTTTTAGGCTTTAGGGAATAGTAAAAAGTATTTAGAACTATTTTATAGACTAAACAACTAATGATCATTAGTTGAAGCCCTAAAGTAGACAGTTTCATTTAATACATTTCTAAATGTATTATTGTGAGAAAACAGACAAAAGATGCATCATAAGGAGAATGACGCTAAAAATGAGCTTATGTTTTCCTTGAGTGAGATCATTTTTATATATAGTTTGTATCGTATCACTGGGCTCCATGACTGGTCCCAGACCAACAGACTGCTCTGCACTGTG